ATATGTCAACAATGTTCTGTTGTGATGAAAAGACACTATTATTAATTTATAAAGCAGAAAGAAATGGAAAATAATTTAAATCTTAAGATTTTGCAATTAAAAGTTTGTCTATTTCTCACCAGTTTCCATTCTTATCTTGAATAGAAAATTTATTTAACGTGAAATTTTAATGAAAATTGGGATTTAAATACTTTTTTTCTATTTTTGAGAAGTCTTAAAAACTTGAGGTGATCTGATGCAATTGGGTTTTGATTTGTCTTTGTGTTCTTTTCGATTTCGATCAATGTTTCTCAAATGGATAGTTAAAGATGATTAGAGTATTTTGTGAAATATTTCTTTCTCAACTTTCAAGTTAAAATCGGATTAAATCTGCTATTCTGTTCATATAATTGTAATTTTTGATTTACTATAAATCTAGTTCATTTTAAAGTATTTTCCAATGAAATGCCCTTAAAAAAAGGAAATTTTTGAATGGCAAACCATTCAATAAAAACAAAAAAAAACTTGTTTATTTCAAAAGAAATACAATTTCCAGATGATTGCAACCTTTTTTGCAATTAAGAGTTCTACTAAGGCTCTGTACGACAAATTTGTTACATTTTTAACTAGATTCCAATCATAATTGAATTGAAAACTTCAAATTCAATCATTCAAAGTTTTATTTTTTGAAGCTGAATGAAATTTGTGCTTTTATAATAGTGTAGAAGCTTCAAATTCCTATTTGTTAATTAAGCAAATTTAAAAAATTGGTAATCACAAAAAAATGCGCTGTTCTCAAAATATATTACAAAATCTTTCAACAATCCTAGCTCACCTCACTTAATTTTGATGACACAATTAAAAAACTTCTTAATGCTGGTTAGAAAACTACTCATTCTAATTTTTTTTAAGATTTGTGGTCATTTTCATGAATAAACAATTTTTATGTTCATCTCCCTTTACGATTCCCGACAGTACAGAATTTAAAAATATATTCAACTCTAGATTAATAACAAAAGTTTTGTTTATGCATTATTAGAATCTAATTTTAAATACTTCATCCATGTGTGCATCTAAACTTTTTCATATTTTACAAAGAAATTAAAATTAAGCAATAGACAAACTTCCATATGAAATTCTGAAGTAGGATAACACACATAAGACGTAGAAATGAATGGCAAACTTTATATCATTTTTTGAAATTAAATTATAATCTTTCATAAAACTTTTGTCTATCGTTCTTATGTTGTCTTTATACTTTTACGGAAAATTGACAAAAATCTGATTTAACTTCAACTTCCATATGAGTTTTTGTACACATTCATAAGCCATATGTGCACACACACATACTGAGGAAGAATTTCTACCAAAATCATCATTATCTTTTGCATATTGGGGCGGAAAAACGATTGGAAATGGAATTAAAACTTTGACTTTCATTTTATCGAGAAATGTTTGCATTTGTAGTGTAGTTTTTGGAAAATAAAGGAAAAATTGAAAATTGTACGCTTCTTTCATAGATAAAAACTTGCCATATAATTCAATTGGAATTTCTTTGTCTCTTTTAATTCACATAGCATATTCTGTAGTTTAGTTCCAACTGTGCAAATAACAAGGAATCCTTGAAAAACTTTCATTGCTAGTTTGTGTGGGCTTTCGAATTTCAGTTCCTTGCTGATTGATTAATTATCTTTGTTGAGGATTCTCTTGTTAGGTTTTTACATGAATTTGGGGTGTGCTTCAATCAAGGACTTGTGATAGAGTCCGGAACCTCTTTCAAATCTTTTCACTAGTTTATAACTCTCAGTTACCAGCCTTGAAAATGAAACTCTCGACAATTGATTCGAAAAATATTCGTGATTCGATAGAAATGGAAATGTTAATGCTAAAAAATGATGCCGTACATTAACAATGACAGATATTTATTATGAAAAATGAAAAGTAATCGTAATTTACATGAGTAAACACTTTTTTTCTATGTGGGTTTTTATGAAATACATCCTCTCATCACAATGAAGCACACATTCATCACATATACCTGCTCTTTAATACTCATTCATTCACAGACGCTTCTTTCAATATGTGACATTCACAATTTTTCTCGAGATGAAAGCTTTTGAAGTTCTACTATGACGTAGATTGCGATTTTATTTGTTTGATGCTAGTTTTTATTTATTTTTGAAGTTCTTAAAGTATTTAAATCACAAATTGATACTGAAATCACCTTCAGTACCCTTAAGAATCTCTGCTTTATAAAGAAATCCAGAGAAAAATGATTAACGTTATTAATGAGATAAAAATACAGCAATAATTAAACTGTCCTGTCTCTTAAATATGCTATTTATAAGCAGCTCCATACTGCTCCACTCCATCGGATATTTATTTATTTTTGACTTCGCTTCCACGTGAATGAATGAGCATGAATAAAAAAACAAGGCGAGAAAGAACTATCAACAGTTCTTTTAATCATGTTATTTATTGCCAATATAAATTGAATTTCATTATGTGAACGTATGCAGCGGCATATAACAAAACGAGTAAATAGCACAGCATGAGTAAGAATCAAAAAGGATATAGCGGAGATACAGCGCGAGAAAAAAAAATATTGCATTGGGAAATATTAAGCACAAATTATCAACTACCGAGAGTAATATTTATTGTATATTATTTATTTTAGCATATAGCATAGCTCATAAGGCTTTAAAATCAATTTTACGCTTTATTTATTGAGAAAATTCACCGGTAAGGATGCAAGAATGTTAAACATTAAAAAGAAACTTTTAACATAATTTTCATTTTTATTCATGCTCCTTTTTTTCAGACGCCTAGAAAGCATCTCCTTTTTGCGTATGCTTCATAGGATATTGCTAAACTTTTATATTTATGGAAATAATTGCATTCATAAAGCGTGAGAAAATTGACATGTTTTTTCGTACCTTTTCTGCTTCCTTTTCTCACTTTCTTTCTAGTTGTTCGATGGGTGCCTTATACCCATCACTGCTATTACCATTGTTTTTAATGTTCGACATTTCTTTTTCTTTTTTTTTCTATGTCTATAAAATCAGCAAATTATATTCAATCGAAACATTTTTTTTTCGTGACATTTGTTTTGGAATTCAGATATTATTGCATGTTTCAATATTAGACATTTCCGGGGCGTTAGAGAAACTGACTATTAAAAGTAATGCAAACATTTGGAGTCAGTTGTGGATAGTATGTGATTTTTAGTCAATTGCAATCACGTACTCGAGTGAGGTGTTTGCTGGTTTGGAGATTTTTTTGTGCTCTTGGAATGTTCATTAGCCGTTCATTCGGTCACTGTTTTATGAGAATTGAGAAATTAAATGCTCATTTAATGACATTTGAAATTTAAAGCCCGGAGAGCACAAGTCGGATAATCGAGACGAAATCCTACACAAGTAAGATATCACGGCGACTTTAGGGCAAATTTTTTGTCATGACGAGAAATTCGCCCTTAGATCGTAACCACGCGGTCCTAGCGTAGGATTTCATCTCGATTATCCGACTTGTGCTACTCGGGAAGCACTATTGAAATTTTATTTTGTGTAAGCCTTTTGTGATAGGATCTTGAAATGGAATGTCCAAGGAAATAGGACTAGGGGCCGACGGAGAATTACTTTGCGTACAACTGTTGAACGGAAGGCGGAACAACAGAACAAGAAGCTGCAGGAAATAGCAGCTTTGGCCTAGAATCGAGTGCGATTCAAATGCTTTGTGGACGCCCTACGCTTCATAGTGGAGCAATAGGAACCCATCATCATGTCATATATGACATTTTTTGATATTTTAATAGGTTACCTCCCTAAATTCCACAAAAAACTTCAGATTAAAAATAATAGAAAGTTTATTAAATACAAAAATATTCTACACGTCTATCAGCAAACATATCAATTACAATAACCGTCATTCAACTTCATATTCTCATCAGCATATCCCAATTATCACACTCTCTTAATCGATAGTCACATGTCTAGAAATTTCATTCAAATTTTATCACGATATTGTCATAAATTATCGAAGATGATTATCAATAAACTTTATGACTCGCTGCTCACTCGTTTGCACATCAACACTTATATGAATCATTCTTTTAAATAGCGACACGAAACACTTGTCGTTGTCAAATTTTGTATTTTGTCATTTAAATCAATATTATTGTAAACCTGAAGAGATGAAGATTTGGAATTTTAATGATATTTTTTTTTGTTGAACTATGAGAATTTTTATTTTCAGCAGGTTGTTATCCTTTTGGGTTTGGTCAAGGTTAATTTGGATGCCAATTTATTATTTTCTAGAGAATCTTTCTTTATTCTTCGGAATTTGTAAATTGTGAATTTCAAAATTTGTTAATTTATATCCATGACCAGAGTTGCGATACAGGTCGTCTGTCACAGGCACAGGTGACAGATCTGTCACAGAATTTGTCTGTTAACAGGTGACCTGTGACAGATCGCAACTCTGTCTATGATATCTTCTGAGACTCTTCTTCTTAAAAACTGATTTGAAATGAAATTTAGGACTTTCGCTGAAACCTTACTTTTTTGACATGACGACCCTTCCTCACCTATCTTCCCCAATTTTTAAAAACACTCCATTTATGAATGGTTCACAAATTTGTAGATATTCTAACATTAAGTCATTAAATCAATTAAAATCCCATTCTCATTCCAATTAGCAAGCAATTTAAAAACATTACAGACCAACTTTCACTTCCAAAGCTCATAAACCTTCTCAACAACTCAATTGCAAAATCATAATCTTGATTAATTCAAACTTAATAAGCAATTTTTTGCCATCAAACATACTAATAACTCCCATAAAGTTTTGCGGAACAAATTAGTCTGACACAACAGCAAAAAAAATATTGTCAAACGTGCCTCTTCTTTTTTGTTGTATACTCTGAGCACATTTTGAGTCACACTCAGAGTCAGTTTTTAAAAAATAATATTTATTCGTGTATCTCAGTGTATCTGTTTGATAACTTACTATATTTTAGTTTATAACAGAGTGTTAAAATAGCAACAACGTGTCGCTCAGAGTCATGCGGTTAAGGTTTAAAGAAATTATTCTCGTGTTGCTGTTTAGTCTTTTACATCTCATTCAGTGCGCCTCATATGGTGAAAGCTAATAAAATTTTATTAAAATATTCATGAAAAAAAAATGATAGTTTTTCTTTCTCGTAACTCTTGTTGTAGTTGGTCAATGTCAAAGAAGTGATGGAAGATGTAGTGAAGCGAGTAAATGCAAATATATATGGACAGATACGATTGATTGTACAGTGAAGCAGTTAGTCTGTTGTTATAATGATCATGATTACATAGACCTTGGATGATTACTCGAAATAAAGTGGATATCTAGTTTTTAAGCAAAAAGTTGTCGTGCATTGAACCTGTTTATAATGGACTAATATTAATAATGAATCATGTAATACAAGTGAAATTAATTGTAGCATATAATCAAAGAGTTATCAATTGAAATTTATTACAATATCAAATTGCTTACACCGGAAACAAAAGCTTGATTAAATACAAATCTGATTGAATTTCAATATGGATTATGGATAACTAGCTATTCATTTTGTATCATCCATGATTATTATTATTTCTCTTGAAAACAGTGAGAATTCAATTTGTTACAGGTTAAGTACGTTCTACATTGTTTTTTGTGTACACAGTTGTGATAAGCTATCAAGTGTTAAAACAATGTTTAATATTTATTGTGAAATGCTTCTGTGGTTCGTTGACTGTAGCGCAGTTTTTTTTAACGCGAACTTTCTAGATTTGTGTTGTTATTTGCTATATGATGTTCTGACAATCTGCATGATCTCTTGGAATTTTGCAATGCCATAACTTGTAAAAATACGCTACCAACTTAATAAAGCGCACAATCGTAGTGATCATCAAAAAGAAATCCGAGTTGTATGCCTTGAACTGTACATAATTATTCAGGAATTTTTCATTCGGATTTTAATTCATAATTGAATAAATGCTTATTTCCTAGCAAATGCATTTGAACAATCGCTTTTCAAGGATAAACAAAGTATCGGGTAGTGATGCTGACCCAAATGCTTAAGCTAGCTAAGATTATTAAACCAACTAGTAGCTTGTTCATTATTGTGCAGCGGAGGTTTAAAAACAATACAATTTTAAAGGGAAACCTGCCTTTAAAAAAAAACAATAGTCTAAGTAGGGTTACCATCTAGTTTTCATGAAAATACAGGACATTTGGTAAATTTTTTCGAAAAAAACAGGACATAGAGTAAAATTCGAAAATTAACGGAAATTTTCATGAAAAAAATACAGGACCAGGAACAAAATTTAAAAATTTATACAGGACAGGGTTTTGAAATACAGGACTGTCCGTTGTAAAACTACGCAGATGGTCACCCTAAGTCTAAGTCAAGTCAAAGTGATACTCATTTTAAAAACTGCATTCAAAAGCTTTATGGCGGAACTAAATGTTGTGACAAACATCATTTTTTCATTAGTCGTTTTTCTGTTAAATTCTTTCAAGTATCTGCAAAAAATTATCACCGATTTAATGCTACATACAAAGAATTATTATTATTCAGTAGAATCTTCATCAAAATGGAAGTTTTTTAATTAAATTTGAATAAAATTTCTCAAACTTCACTCGAATATTTTCATGAAATCAAGTCTAATTAATTTTCTTTTCAACTTCTTCCTTCAAAATATGAGAGATTCTTATGTGCAATCAATTGAATTAAAATTTGCTTTCCAGATAGTTCTCACACTCTCATATACAATGTCTCTATGCATCTTAAAATGGATGTAGTTTCCTTATACATTCATCCTTTTAGCTGTGGTCAATGCCATATGAAAAAAAAAATATTCATATTCAAGAGAGGAAATTGAATTTTCTTAAAAAGAAAAAAAGGCATTTCTCTTGATTGTCATGCAGTAAAAATTTTGAATGCATAAAATATGAAGATATGCTTCTTTATGAGAGAAAAATTGGTCTCAATTAAAATCATTTGACTTGCCAATAAAAGACTAGATGAAAATTTATTCATAAAAGAAAATTTTTAATTGTGTTTGTTCATTCTTGTGGGAGTTTGTATTCTTAGATTTTTATAAGGTTTGTTTTTTACTGGAACTTGTGTGCTGATTGTATAAAAATGCAGAATAAATATAAACCAAATGTTTAGAATAAGTTGGGAAAATTAGAAATTTTATCTGGATTTTAAATTTGTGGTATATTGAGACTATTGACTGCTTCTTTATTTAAGACAAATTTTAAGAAATAGAATTTATTCTTATAATGAGAAACAAAGTCTTAATCTGACTCTTTAGGATTTAAAAAATAAAGTAAATTTGATGAAAGTTTAATAAATCCAGTTCAGAATGTTTACAATTAGCTTCCGCGTGGAACACGAGAGGTGTTTCTTTATGTCGGTCAAATTTTGTCACCCAACCTACAGGTCCACCGTTTTATCCAAAAGTAATGATTTATATGTCAAAATTTAGCCCTTATCGTCTAGTAGGGCGAAAATTTAAGCGCTTGGCGTGAATTTTCTTAGTTCTCGAGATATAGTGAAAATAGTGTTTAATCTGGTGGATTATAAATAAATCCAATGGATAAAAAATTAAATCAATAATATCTCCTAATTTTCAAAACCAATTTTTTCCGTGAGATATCTTAAATTAAAGGTAATTAAAAGGAAAACAATCGTCCATAAAAAGATTTTCATTATATTTGGTTTTGAGTGGGTTTAAGAAACATTTATGTTAATCTTGATTAATTTTAAACCGGATTTAAGGGTTTAATTTTATTAATTTTTCGTAAATTTTCGTAAATTGTCAAAAATGCAGTTAAAAACACTTTTAATTATTAGAATAAAAATAATTTAATTTTTTTGTTGAAAGTAGCTGGTCTTAATCCAGTAACACGGATTAACTAGTGCTTGATCTCCATTGTTAATCCTGCATCCTGACTTATTTATTGTATTGAAATTAATTCGAAAAAATAATTAATAGTGGAAATGATATTAAAGGGACAGCATAATTTTAGAATCCTTATCCTATTTATTAAATGATAAAGAATGCTAATATAGATATGAAATCGATATTTTTTTGAAAATAGCCTACTATGATCAATACCAGAAATGCTTTAAATTGCATTTTAAAACATATCTAGGTGTTATAAATGATAAAGAATTCTAATATAGATATAAAATCGATATTTTTTTGAAAATAGCCTACTATGATCAATACCAAAAATGCTTTACATTGCATTTTAAATCATATCTAGGTATTATAAATGAAAACAAATGCTAATATAGATATAAAATCGAAATCTTTTTGAAAATAGCCTACTATGATCAATACCAAAAATGCTTTACATTGCATTTTAAATCATATCTAGGTATTATAAATGAAAACAAATGCTCATATAGATATAAAATCGATATTTTTTTGAAAAAAGCCTACTATGATCAAAACCAAAAATGCTTTAAATTGCATTTTTAAACATATCTAGGTGTTATAAATGATAAAGAATGCTAATATAGATATATAATCTATTTTTTTTTTTGAAAAAAGCCTACTATGATCAAAACCAAAAATGCTTTAAATTGCATTTTTAAACATATCTAGGTGTTATAAATGATAAAGAATGCTAATATAGATATAAAATCGATATTTTATTTGAAAATAGCCTACTACGATCAGAACCAAAAATGCTTTAAATTGCATTTTAAAACATATCTAGGTTTTATAAATGATAAAGAATGCTAATATAGATATAAAATCGATATTTTTTTGAAAATAGCCTACTATGATCAAATTCAAAAATGCTTTAAATTGCATTTTAAAACATATCTAGGTATTATAAATAAAAAAAATGCTAATATAGAGATAAAATCGATATTTTATTTGAAAAAAGCCTACTATGATCAAAACCAAAAATGATTTAAAATGCATTTAAAACACATCTAGGCGTTATAAATGATAAAAAATGCTAATATAGATATAAAATCGATATTTTTTTGAAAATAGCCTACTATGATCAAATTCAAAAATGCTTTAAATTGCATTTTAAAACATATCTAAGTATTATAAATGATAAAAAATGCTAATATAGAGATAAAATCGATATTTTATTTGAAAAAAGCCTACTATGATCAAAACCAAAAATGATTTAAAATGCATTTAAAACACATCTAGGCGTTATAAATGATAAAAAATGGATACCCAGTAATAACGCCGACACGGAATAACTCCACAACATCAAACCGGAATAATATCGAAAATATTTTTTGCTCAGGTCGGTAATAACTTCACCTGTATAATGTAGGTGAAGTTATTCCGGCGTCGCGACGGAATAATTTCACCTACTTAATATAAGTGAAGTTATTACCGCTTCATACCGGAATAACTTCACCTACATAATATAGGTGAAGTTATTCCGTCGCGGCGGCGGAATGATGCCGAAAAATATTGTATGTCGACTTTATTCCGTCACTGTGCAGGAATAACTTCACCTATATTTATATAGATGTGGCAGTGAATTCGTAATACAATTTGAAATTTACAAATGGGCAATCTCGTTTTTGAAATAATTTTTCTCAATTTTCAGCAATTTAAACGTTCCAGAGACTTAATATACTTATGTAAAACGATAAAATTTGGATGCTATTGCTTGCTTTCTGAACAAAAGCAAAGCAAAAGGGCAATGGGCAATTCTTTGGATGACTTTTTAAAAAATTTCAGCAAAAAATCGAAATTTCATTCAACAAACTTTTTGTTTCATCACATGCATATCAAATGATAGATAAGGGTGTGTTGCATAGGATAGACAGAATAATTCTGCAGAATTCTGCTCAACAGTTTCGCAACAATTCTGCAGAATTATTCTGATAAATTCTGCAGAATAATTCTGAGAACAACATAATAATTCTGAAGATTAATTCTGAAGAACTTATTTTTATTTTGCAGAATTATTCTGTTGAATTTTTTTTTTCAGAATTTCACAAAACAAATCAGAAGCATTTTTTCCAAATTCTGCATAATTAAAAGTTCTGATGAATAACTTTATGAGAATGTGATTAAAGACTTTGTTTTTCCACAATTACAAATTAATATGGAAATTAAAATAGGAGTACAACATTTTTCAGTGTTTCACTAAGTTTGAAACAGAATTGATAAGGAATTGTTTTTGACTTTGCCAATATTTTCCTTTCGCTCCTCTGGTTTAAAGCCTTGAATAGTTCCAAAAAATTATTCATTATTAAAACTTCAATTGAAGATTATATACAAAAGCGTATAAAATTTGATGAAATTTTTGAATATTCAATTTTCGAGATCGAATTCGACACGATTATTTTTAAA